TAAATATATTACCTCGAAAGCCCTATTTGGGCTGCTATAAATCGGTTTCAATGTGATAGCACATTCCAAGATGAAAAGATTCATGTCCAAATGAAGGTAAGAGACAACAGAAAAAATAATGGCTTCTTAATGTACGAATGGGTCTATCAAACTGTTAAATAACAAGTTCTAGCTAGTGTGAAGAGTGTCAGATACATTTGTCTGTCACAGGAATATTAAGAGTTACTAATGGGACAAGGGCCAGAGCCTGTCAAGGGACATACTTTTGTCAATTGATACGCTAGGCACATTGCACAAAGAAAAGAAAGTTATCTTTTTTGTACTTCATCATGGTTCAAAACGCATTACTGGAAATACAGAGAGTGAAACAGTTGGCACAGAAACTCAATTTCTATTTAGTAAATTCTTTACTATGGAATAGTTCTGCATTCATAGCCAGAACACATTGCAAAAACATTCTGCTCATATACTACCATCTAGTGGTCATGTTAGCTATCAGCATAATAATAAATTAATTGTGTCCTATCAAGTCAATTATGACATGGCAGCGTTTTTCTCAGGATTTTCTTGGGGGACAATACTCAGAAATTGTTTACCATTCTCTTCTTCTGGAAGCATCATGTGCAACATGCCCAAGGCCACACAGGCTGGTTTTTCTGGGATGCACAGTGAAGAACTGAACTCATCCTAACTCACTGAGCTATTCAGCCAGCTAGTTAACAACAGACTTTTGAACAATTTCCAAAAGCATAACCACCTTAGTCTGTCTCAGTGTGGAGGCAGAAGTAAAGTGGGGAAAAACAAAGAAAAACATTGAAACATTTTATTTATTCATTTAAAATATTTTTATCTCACCTTTCTCCAAGGCAGCTTACATTAAATGTTAGTCACTGTAAAGAGTAACTGATTCATTTTTGTGTGGGTTTTTTTAAAATCAAAATACACTTTTCCAGGTTTATTGACAGTTTCAATTTATACTGATGTTTGAATCAAACCATAGAAAATCTTTAATTATTTTGATATCTTCATTGTCAACATGAAAGTTATTTAATTTTTCTGTTGTCATGATTTTTGTCTCCTTAAAATTCAGCTGCAATAAATGTAATAAATGTGATAAATAAATAAATAAAT